TCGCTTAATATGTTTAAATTTCCCAAGCGCCAAGGAAAAACACACAGATCCCCACAGGAGAACTCTTCAAGATGACAGAATAAACATCTATACAACTGAAATATTTGACGTTTATTGACATTTTAGGTGGCTTAGATAGAACGACGGTCTTGGAACGAGGAAGTTAAAGACCTTTTGAAATCTCATTACATTTACCTCTTGCTTTTGAGCAACCGAGCCCCACAGAACATCCCTAGATGTATATTTCTCTCGGTGTTTCTGACAAAACACCAGCAAGAGCGAGGACTGTACCTTGCACCAAAAGGTTTGTTCTGGAGAAGTAAAGGTGTTAGTGCATTTAAAAGTGCTTCTTAGAAGGTGGTTGGGATTGTTAGTTTGTTTTTTAATAAACATTTAATAACAAGGCAAGCAGAAGAAATAAAAGTGTTCAGGGGAAAAAAATAAAAAGGATAGTGTATTTCATGTAGTTTGTTTCAATTTAGAAGTGACTACAGTGAGAAATTTGGGATAAGAAATGCTGTGCAGTGTACCACTGGAAGACTTTATCGTTAGATACCATGTATAACGAATCTTTTCTTTTCCATGCCATACTGAGATGGTTTGCAAAGCATCTGCCGGAACATAGACTGCTGGGTTGGGGTGTAGAAGAGATTCATAATGCATAGATATATCTGAAAATATGTATATGTGTGCTTATAGACATTATATGCTTTTGTGTATATAAACAGACATGCACACAGCATTTTACATGTTGCTCACGAACCCAAAGCATGTAGTCTTTAGCCAAGCACTTCGCTGCCGTCTGAGTTTTCCCAAGGCCTGGTAGGGTCTGGAAATGAGCAGCCATACTCTCTCAGCAATTCCATGCAGTGGCAGGCAGCTGGAGTCATGCTCTGCCTTTGGAGAGCAGAGAGAAAAAAGAATGAGTAATCATTTTGTTTGAATTGCAATAAGTATTAAATATTTCTTGGGAGCCAAAAAAGTCTTGGAAAAGGAGAAAGACATTCTTAAATGGCTGGTCATAATAGGAGCATTGTCACATTGTAGTACTTCTTTCTTAAAGGGAAGAAAGTGTTGGGGTTTCGGAATGTTTCATTCATAAGTGTATGAAATGAGCATGCAGGATAGCACTTTTAAAAGAATATAAACTAGTAATTAAAAATGAAATAACTGTAATTACCTGCTTCTGCTTTAATAAGTGCAATTTGTCTTTGATGTATTTAGTGAAAAAGCCCTACCTCTTCACTTAGAACCCAGCAGCAGGATTATTGGAAGAGTGAAAGTATTACCAAGTTTTATGTGTTGCCAGCAAGGTGCCTTTTTGTAGCCAATTTGCATTTTAGTTTTGTAACGTTTTGGCTGTTGAAGCCATTATGTCTGTAGATACTGATGGTGTAGGGCTTTTAAGGAGGCAAAGAGTGCTGCTCTAGGAGAAATTCCTCTTCTCTTGTTCCCTCCACCCCTTGCTAAAAATGACAGATATATATATATATATATATATATATCTCCTAAGGAGAAACACTGATTTGAAAACTGCCATTGTCTTTGAAATGTACTCCTTTAAAGTAGAACCGTACTTTAAGAAGAAGCGCGTGTGTTGGCTGTAGTTTTCTGGGTTAACTTCTTATTTTCACTTAGAAAATTTCTTTTCAGCTGGAAAAATGTTTTAAATTATAGCCATTAAAAAAAAAAATAAAATTGCTCATAGCAAGCAAAAATGCTGTGGAAAACCTGTAATTTAGACAAGTACCTACATTTTATTTGCTTTGTGCTGCTGAAATTTAGAATCCCTTCCCATTTACAGTTTACTTTTCACAGAACATTATTAACTTTTTGGCTTCATACATGATCTTCTGTCAGATGCTTTTGATTTGTAATTTAGCAAAGTATAATAAACAGTGCAAAAGTCATGAATTTTCCTCCGCATCCTGAGCTCTGTGGTAGGGAAAATGTGATAAAATGTGTACCTTAAGTCTTGTTTGATGATCTCTCAAAGCAAGTTTGCCTTCTGGAAATAATTTCTGGGGTTGAAGAGCATGGTATTAACAGATTTAATGTGGCTATTCAATGGATTGGTGGAGTACTATGTGAGGTTTAACAAAATGAGAGAGACAAATTGAACATCAACAAAACCTACATCTGTGAAGAATTATAAATTTAATTAGGAAAAAGGCAAACTTAAAAGACCTCATTAACTAATCAGAATTTGATGTTACTGATTTAAGATTCTTAACTGGATGAATTTTAAGTAGCTTTGCTGTCATTGTCCTTTTTTTCTCGCCATGTAGTGCCCAGATTTGCAATATGTATTAAGGAGAATGATGGGAATGTTACTTACAACAATCAAATTATGCACAGTAATGTTTTTGAGGTATCAAGGAGAATGTGTATATCATTTAGCATACAAAGCATTTCTTAGTTTTAGCAGAGTGCAGCGTATGAAGGGTGAGTGACAGCTCCTTTTTTCTCCTCTTGATTTTATTTATTTATTTATTTAATGTGCCCCTTTGGCTGACTGGGTAAGGCCATTTAATTTTATTTTTTTCTTTCATTTTTTTGTTTGATACGTGAGTTATGTTGCAGTTATCCAGAAATCTGTTGGCAAAGTGGGAGAGTATATGAGAGCAAGCGCACACCACCCAGAAATGTTTTTATTCTATGAACTGGTCGTCATAAGTGTGGTTCCTTACTACGTTGTAATTTTGCACTACACATAAAAAACTGAAAGCATGTGAAGTGTAGCATTTTGTAAACTGTAACTAATTTCACTCACATCTGTGTCTAATTGTTGTCTGCATTCGCATTCTTGAGAGTAGATTTATTTTTCCTGGACCACTCTGTGGATTCAGCTGACCAGCCTAAGTGAGGATTAGTTGTTTTAAAGTTATTTTGATTAAAGAGTCATTTTTAAATATGGTAACGTGCAACACATGGTTTAAATAATCCTTGAGACACAAAGGAATATATCTGAAGTATGTCTAATGAAAATGAAGATTGTGGATATGAACTTTCACAAATCATGGAGTGTTAGAGGACAAATAAGGTATATATTTAATTCACTTTGAATGAGCTGCATTATTATTTTTTTTTTGCCCTTTCCCATGAATCTGTAAATGAAATCTCTCTCATTATACACACACATGCACGTGTGTGTATATATATTTGTAAGTGTACAGAAGTTATTATTGGTTTTAATTTGGGTAAATAAAATAGGTTTAAATGTATTTTAGGGGTTAGTGAAGAATAAATAAAACTGTAGGGTACTTTGGAAAATATCAATGAATTAAAGCTTCTATTTGAAAAAGGAAGATTTTTACTATTATAAAAGATATGTTTTTAAGGATCGTGTGCAAAAGGGAGTGAAGATAGCTCTGTAAGCAAACTTAGTTCTCACCTATAATTTTTTCCAGGTGTTTAGAAGTAGCAGCAGAAATATATCCTAAGGCACTCTGCTGCAGTTTCTGGGGTAAAGAACTGGGAAAAAAAAATCTTTAGAGCAAAATGCACAGTTTTGAATGTATCTGCTCATCTAGTTTGATTTGGCATGCATGATGTATTGAAAAGCATGTTATGCAGTACTTTAAGTACCCAGTTATAAAAAGATTGATGTTTTTCAGCGTGCATTATTGTATGCTTCTTGACATCATTTGTAATGTTCTGCATTGCTTGGCTGCCCCTAGGAGTTGTTTACTCTTGCTAGTAGTAATTCTGTCTGTGATTAAAAATAACAAAAAAAAAAAAAACAACAAAAACCCTACAGACACATAAGTAGGATTTGCTTGGATGATTTTTATGGCACTTAAAATGCCTCATCTCTCTTGTCTTTGCTCTGTGATCATTTAGGAGATGTCAGTTCAGGTCGAATGCAAACGCACATGAAGGATTCTCAGTGCAGACATTAAGAGAATATATACCTTGCGTGGAGAAACTTTTGTGTGCTTTTAAGTTAACAGCGTCTAGCAGAGGACCTTTACCTGAATTTTATCATCCGCTGACAATCGTTACTGGGTACAGAGAAGAGTCTGTTAGCAAAGCAATGGTGTTTTTCTAATAGGATATGAAAATCTATTACTCACCTGAGTTATAAAAGGAGTCATTTTATTAAGCTGGAAAATTATTGCTGGGCTTCCCAGTGGAACCAGATTCCTTTCCTTGATGAGTGACCTCAGAGGTAAATGCTACAGCTTCCTCCTATTTATTTAGCCAGAAATGTTCTTTCAAGTCATTTTATCAGAAATCTCATTAGCGACTGGAATTTTTACAAGTACAACTTTGTGCAGTAATGTGTGGGGTTTTTGTTTTAATTCACCCCAGCTGGAGATGGGCTCATTTTGGAGATAATTGTGTAATACTGTTTGTCACAGATTGAAGATCTTTACCATAGGTAGATCTGCCCCTTGTTGTCCCCCCACTCCCCCAGATTAATGTCAGCCGCTCTGGCTTTCTTCACCCCTCACCTTTGGGGTGAGCTGACTTGTGGGTTCCCTGTTGCCCAGGTGCAGAGGACGGATGGCAAAGAGCGTAGGAAGAGGAAAGCCAATGAGATGAGGGCAAGAAGCTGTCAAGAGTTAAGGGGATGGGAGGAAAAGATAGCTAGCAATAGCAAAAGGCAAGAGGGGTGGAGGATGGTGGGGAGCTCAGGGCTGGAGTGGCGTGGTGGGGTTACCTTTGTGGGGGTGCGTGGCAGAGCCGTGCCGTGCCGTTCTGTGCCATGGGAGGAGTGAGCGCCTCTGCAGCTGTCACGGGCCCCTGATGAATCACTATCCCGTCACTTGGCCGCCGTCCCCCGGCACGGGGAGGAGGGAGAGAGACCTGCCGGGGAAACAACAGTTGAGCCTTCAATTTAAAGACAATATGCCTTTCACGGGCACTGCGCCCTCCTCCTCTCCTTTTGGCTTTAAAGGACAGAGTTGTCATCCGCAGTAATATCCTTCCTTTAAATTAAGTCCTCATAGTAAAGTGGAGTAATAGAGGCTTCTGTTTCTTTCCCTGGTTTACAGGTGCGGAAGTCCCAAACCAGTTCAGATGTTGCTGTTTCGACAAGCTGCAGGTAAGCATTTGATTGACATTTGCTATTTTTCTGCAAGGCTTTTGTTCCCTTTTTTAACTTCAGGTGACAAGTAAATATCTATCCATGTTTTCCACATTAAGCAGATGAGTAAGTGCTCGAGCGTCGCTTTTAGGTGCATGCAACCAAGTCTGTAAACCTGGAGCACGTCCACTTCTTTACTAAATTGTTTGATTTTATGTTAGATACTGGCTTTTCAAAGTCATTGTGATATCATCCTTCTTTATGTGTAGGTTGGTTTAGGCAATTAAATGTAAAATGAAGGATTTGTGTTTAGAGCTTGTGATAAAATCTCAAACTGTGAAAGCTTCATAGCTGAAATGACACTTAGGCTTAAGGATATTTATACATTACGGTGGGAGGATTTTTTTTATATAATTTTATAGTCTTTAAAAGAGCCTAAGCATTTTTTAAAAAATGAAAAATTACTGATTCAAATGCCTTGGAGGCAGAATAACCTATGAAACTTCTACAGGGAGCAATTACTTAGACTGAGTACATCAAATAACATTAGCAAAAGTTTTAGGTATAAAGAAATGAAAGGTTTGGGCACTTCAATCATAAGCTTCCCCAACATATGTCATGGTGGCCACGGCTCTGGGCTTTTTTATATAAGGCTGTTGAAAACACAAATTGGAAATATTCAGCTGTTTGTGTGCTTTATAAATGTGTAATTTTTGCTTTGAATCGGAATTGCTCTCTGACTAAGCAACAGCTGTAGAGATACAGCAGAGTGCTAAGGCATACTAACGCCTATATGGATCCACTGTATGTTGGTCATATCCCTTTTCAATTGGGCACGCTTTATGTAATCCACAAAGCAAACAAGTGAGCAGACATAATAATGTTTTAATGCTGCATTTGTTTCAACGGAAACAGAGGAACAATTAAGTAGTTTGCCAGAGTAAACACATACATCAGGAATATCTCATTCCCTGTCAGTAGATGATAGGTTTCCACAATTGCTTCAAGTGTTTTATTTGGTTTGGAGGCCCATTATATTGCCACTGAGTGGTTAATCTTGAAAAAGCAGAGTGTTAATTTGTTTTTAAGAGAACGTACGTCTTCATATATTGGTGATTCTATCTTTTCACGTACCTTAAAAATACAAGGTGACACAACTGTTTAAAGTACAGTACTTCGTATCTAAGATTTATTCTGTTTGAAGCTGCAAAAATAATTATGGTAACTGGTCAGTCACATTTTGGAGGGCTACAAATGAGTTTTGCAGTAGAAATGACCAAGTTAAGAGAAGCTGTTCATTTTTTGCTGTTTTCAGGATGTTGATTAATAGCAAGCTGCATCTCATATAGGTAATTCATATTGAATATGTCACTAAAACTAGCTGCATATTATTTTCAGGTCTATGGAAATGCAGGATCTAGCCAGCCCACATAGACGACTAAGTGGTAGTAGTGAATCCCCCAGTGGTCCAAAACTTGATAACTCCCATATAAATAATAATTCCATGACACCCAATGGCACAGAAGGTGAGCCACCATTATTTTTAGTCTTTCATAGTTTATTTTTTCTTCTTGTTGCATTGATGTTCTTGCAGTAAGTAAGCTACATAGAGAAAATGTTTTACTATTTTAGGTGTTCTGTGCTTATGCAATATTGTGTGGAAAGCCAATGATCAATGTTTATCAGTAGTTACTCTTATCAAGTTTCAGCAATAGCTTTCATTCCAGGTTTATCTTCCTTTCATTTAGTTTGAATGGACTGAGCAGGTAGTATGTGCGGAGCTTGAAAAAACCTCCAAAAAAACCTGAAAGGGTAGCTTAGTCATGAGAAGAAAGAGCGTTTACAGTTGTACTACAAAACTCAGTCTTTCAGTGTTTTTCACTAGATGGGTATTTCTTGATGTTCTCCCTTTTTTTCAAGCTCCTAAGGCTATGAAGTTTTCTCAAGTAGGCTAATAAAACTAAGTGTTGAAATTTCCTCGGGCTAGCTTGCTGCTCTGATGGAGTGGCCAAAATTCAAACAGGTGTAGTAATTCAATGGGTAAACTGATACCTATTTTTCAAGAAGCAGTCAGGCAGTTTATAAGTTATGTTTGTTCTCAATAGAATACTAACAGCAGAACAACCTAACAGCTTGGCCAGTAATACAATAGATATATAATACATACAATAATACATATAATGAAACACAGAAGGGTTTATATAATAAGCAGCAAAAAATACTCTTTCCTGTAACATTTCTATGGTTATAATAGGAAAGATTGTACATGACATTTAGATAGCTATGTCAATAGAGATTTTAATGCATTACGAGAAAAGTCACACAGCTTCAATATTACTGTTCAGTATAAATGTATAGTTAAACAACTGTTGTAGCAAAGATAGGCCTTTTTTCCCTAAGAACTGGGTCATATTAGTGCTGTCAGACTGTTTAGGATTATGGACATGCGTTGCATTCTTCCAGGAAAGGCACATGTCAATCAAACAGATGTCATCCCCCTTCAATTCCCCAAACATCTCTGTTATTCATTCTAATTGGAGTCCTCTGTAGTGGGGAGGGTTTATGGGTTATCAGATTAACAGGCATTTGTGCCAGTTGTGTATAATTTACTTTTTGTTATTGCTGTAAAAGTATTGCAGCGAGCAAATTTTAAGTCATTTTGGAAAAAAACAAAACAAAACACCAACCCCCAAAACTTGCTTTTTAAGGAATAAATAAAGTGTTTAATGTGTTAAGTAGTTCAAGCAAAACAATATTTCATCTCCTTAGGTGAGTCTTCTTCCTTTTAAATACCCAGCTATATTACCATATTTTAATATTAAATTATCAGGTGTATACTATTTTGGTATAGGATAAAATTGCGTGACCCTTTCAAATTAAAATTCCTCTAGGTCACAAAAGCCCTTTGCGGTAAATTTGACCAGCTTTCGTACCTTCTGTGTTACTTGAAGGTTCTTTATTAGCATAGAAATAAGGAGTGGTCCTTGAAACACTGAAAGGCACTCATCAACTGGCTTGACTTTTTGTTCTAAGTAGTTGTTGTGTGTAGGCATACACCCTGAAAAATGGGGTGCTTAATATTAGTTTGACAGGAAGCAAGCTGTATGTTGTATCTAGTCATTCACTGACCTCAGGTAGCAAATAATTTTGGAGGTAATATCCCAACTTCTAGGTGGGTATCAGAGCCTATTGAAGGAAGTAAATTAAGCCCCAGTAACTAATTTATCTGACACGAGAATCTTAAAGTTCATGTTTATTAATTTGGAGTGAATTCTACCCAGAAAGCTGTAACTTGCAATCTGTGTTTCCCTTCTGAGTCGAAGCCAAACGGTTTTCTTTTGTTTGCAATTTTCCCTCAGGTGACATGACCCTCCTCAGCACTGCAGACTGGTTGCTAAGCCCTAGCACACAGAGCCTTGCAGGTTTGGGGGGCTGTGGTGGGCACAGCAGGCGTGGGCATTCAGCATGTGGTTTCAGATGTTGTCCAGATAGCGTCCTGAGAAATAGCTTGTGCTTGGCGATTCTGGTCTAAACTTTCTAAATTGAAAATTCCTGTCTCTGATTGCTCTTAAGTGGCAAATAAGGAAAAGTTTGTGAAAGAAACAGAATAATTTATTTCTGAATTAGATGTGTGCCAAGAGACAAAATTTGTGAGTGAAGCAGATGCCTAAGAATCTGAAGATGGAATTTTTACTGTTAATCTGTTTTATCTTAAGAAAATGCTTGGTTTGGGTTCCTTGAGCTGCTAAACAAGCTTAAGGAAAAATGGAGTGAATGAAGTGAGGGTTTCATATATTTTTTTTAATGAAGGGTGAAGTAAATTCTTTTTTTCCGAGATTCTTGAAGCAGAATCCTGCTGAGGCACAAGTGGCAGGTTGTAAGGATGCGGTTGTAAGGGCTTGCCAAGCACCTTTCTTAAAATGCTGCAGTGTGGTTTGCTTGCTTTTTGCATGTGGAGTGGAGATGTGGGTTGCTGAACATTCACATGTTAAATATAGTATGTGAAACTGGCTTCTAGTCTACTACGCACTCATGCTAACGTGAAAAGCCTTCTTTTCTGGCATAAGGTACCTTCATGTGAACAAGAAATAGGGCCTCTAGGTATTTGCATGTTATAAATATCTTGTAAAGATATGTTAAATTTGATTTGACTATGGGTGTGATTTCGGCAGGTTTCCATACCCTGAAGTGCAGGATATGTTCACTAGATGAGGAGGAGGTAAAAAAAAAACAAGGAAGAAAAAACCAAAACCCTGTCCCAAAGTGAAATGGCCCTGTTTCAAACAAATGTTCATTAATTCCTCTAAGGCACATTTTCAGACTTGTCTCTTATTGATGTTCTGCGAGAGGATGTGGTTGGAAGATAGCTCACTGTTATTAGCTAATATTTTTAGCTTCACACTTAGTGGTAAATTTTCAAAGCACTGAATAGGGATTTAGTTGTGTGATTGAGTCTGAGTTTAATCTCTGCATGCAGCTTTTATATAATAACTCTTTGTGTGCTTAATTTCACTTTGGTAAGCAACATTCCTCTTCTCCGGGCCAGGCAGCATGGTCTTCAAATCAGTGATGGGGAAGTAACAACGAAATTATAGACCTTGACCAGTCGGAAATTTCCCAGGATCAAATGCAGAGGAATAACACTAAAATGTCTGGCTAAAGGCACTCAGAAAAATCAGTCCTGGCATGCCAAAGTGGTGCCAATGATACAAACACTGCAGTATTTGACTTTTCCATGTCCTTTTTAAGTGTTTTTCCACAAAATCCCCTCCTTTGTAGGGAGCAGCAGACACTGGACACCTTTAAAATATTGGTCCTGTATGACTTGCCTGAGAAAATATGTTAAAGTGAAAAAAAAAATATATATATATATCTATGTAATTGAAGTAGGGACCAAAATGTTCGTAGTTGTGCCTTATCTCTAATCTTTGTCAGAGAATTGCTGTAGTGGCTTGATGCTGAAGGAGTTAAAGAAACAATAACAACAGAAGCTAATAAAATTGTCATTCGTTAAGTTTTATCAGACAGCTAGTGGCTATTCCAATAACAGTGCCCACTTTGCTAGATATACTTCAGAGGTGAAAGGCTGAGAGTAATTAATAAATTTGAACGGAGTAGCAAAGGTGTTTTCCATAGTGGACAACTGCATCCAGTTTCTGCCTACAGTGATCTTGCCTTTTATCTAAATAATGTAAATCAGTTCTGATGGATAACACAGAGTGAGAAACAGATGCCTGTGGCCCATCATGGTGATCTTTTATGCATCTGGAATGGAAAAGAATAGGTGAAGATGGGGAGAGAAGGAGCTGTGGTTTTCCAAGCAACTACTCTTCATTCATGTTAGGAGTATGGCGCTACTTCTGCCCTCATTTTTGAATGTTCAGAAGGGAGAAGGCATTTTCTTACCAAGCAGTAAGGGAAAATGGATAACAAATTGAAGATCAGATTTTCAAAGATACGTAGGAAGGGAGGCTTCAAAGGGAGCTGGACATCAAAATTCCTTTGGGAAAAAAAAAAGTTCTTGCTCTTTAAGTACGTGCTGCAACATGAGAATGAGATCCCACACAAAGGCAGTCAGAACTCCCCACTACATGACTATCTGATGGGTGGCCATTAGAAAGGCTGTTTAAAGTCTGGTGAACATAAATCCATCTTCAGGGTTTCAAAAGGCAGTGCTGTGTAGTATGTTTGCTGTCAGGCTGCAATATTATAGAATGAAGAAAAAGTTGGTTTCAGTATTTTCTGAAATAATGATGGAGTAAAATGTTGAAACCTATAGAGAAAGTATGAGTTGGTCATTGTTATGGCACATTATGTAGGTTTCTGTAAGTAAATGTTAAGAATTCATTGTAATTCTAACAGTACTTTGTAGCACCCTCTCAGTATTGCAGTCAAGCCTGTGCATGGGCAATGGATGATTTTCAATTTTGTATAAGTTATTTGTAGTTTTTAATATTCATAATTTTGTGTACTTTGGCATAAGAAGTTGCAGTAGGTGATGGCAATCAGAATGATTCTCCTTTGGGAGATGTTTGGGTTCTGCTACTTTTAATTGCTCATTTCTGGAGTTTCTGCCAATTATGTATGCTGAAGTTTCTACACTTGTATTTGTGATGAAGAGCTTGATGGTATGAATGTAACTGAGGTGGGGATGCCTTCATATTTACACATCCTCAAATAATACTGCAGTAAAGTTGAATCTAGTATTTTCATTTCAGAAGGGTGTGAGTATCAATAACTATTGATGCTAACTTCTTTACTCAGCCCCAGAAGAGCACAAAAGGACAGTTGTGTGGCCAGAGGCAAAGAATGCATTGGTCCCAGGCCCCAGACTGGTAAAAGCAACCTGGGGCTCTGTAGGTCCTAGTAATAATCTTCAGCCTGCTGCCACTTCTGGAGGATAAAAATCAGATACACATCACTGCCCATTTGTGTGAAGGCAAGGGGCTGACTTGGACTATTTTTTCTTCTCTCCTCCTTACCTTTTTCTTCTTGCTGTATTACATTGGCTTCCTTCCAGACTCTTTGTCTTATCTGTGCTTTTATTCTCCTGCTTCCCCAAGAGTCGTTCTGTCTGTTCTGAGCACATGTAGCATAATGCTCTATTATTCCTCTTTCGTAGGTTTCTGGCCACTGAAATGACTACTTGTCTACTCCTCTGTTGGCTCAGTTCAGCAACTCATGTTGCAAGGTCTTGAGGAGGAGACTGGCTAATAAACACTTCTGTATTTATTGTCTTTTCTGTGTGTTTGTGCATCTGTTTGTGAAAGCTTCACCATTTTGTTTTCTCCCACAACATTTTCCTGAAAGGACGGACCTCATTAAAGGGAAAAGTTAATAGCAATACTAGTTCCCACAGACATTCAAGGGAAACAAAATACTGTAAGTGACAAATGACTTAAAAAGAAAGGAACATCTTGGAAGCACCATTTATTTTAATACCACTTTCTTTTGCAGCTTCTCATAACCCTTTTCACAGCACATGCTCTTCCAGACCCTGGATGCAGAGCATGGTGTTGTGGAAGTACTCTCTGAGTGTGTCCGAGGGTCGCAGAGCCCTGCTGGCACAGTGGCTTTGCACAGGCTGTGGGATGTCAAGAACCTGTAGTTATACACTACTTCACTGAAAACTGTAACTGCAACACTTTGTGCTAGGTGCAGTGTCTCTCCAGTGGGACCAACCCGTTACGCACAATCTGCATGTGTGCAATCGTGTGACTGCACTGCATAAGATAAAAATATCATGCACCTGGCCAGTAATACAAGTGAAAAGGAAATCCAGCCCCTGCTGTCCATGTGCACCAGCAGAAACTCCAGGGAACAGGAGTAGAACATCTTGATCTAAATGCACACGTAAATAGACAATAGGGTGCTATTTGAAGAGCCTTTGCATCTTCAGAGACTTGTGAGTTGATGTTTTAGCACTTGCATTTGCATCTTGTAATCTTCAGAGGGGTTTTGCTTATCACAGGTAAATAAAAAAGCATAAAACTTGGTTACACTTCAGGGTTAGCAGTGTCTCCCTGGTCATTGAAGAAAGTACCTGTGCCACCTGGTTTGGTGAGACAAGCTGAGGAGTTTGCTGCTGCTGGGTGGAGGGGAGTGCAAGCTGCTTATCCCACTTTGTCCAGATGAATTTAAGTCTGATGGTCCTGGAGTTCAGACCCTGGCCAAAAGTAAGGAATATTATTTCCCACTTGTGGAAGGTCCCACCCACTTTATCATTCTGCTTCTGTCTTCATATCTTAGTCTTGTGTCTTGTACACCTTACTGACAGAGTGGGCTTGACTTCTCCACGATGCTCTCTGTTCCCCTGAAGCCCTCCAAGTTCCCAGAAATTAGCTGAAGGCAACCTTTTTTTGCCATCAGTATCTGGGGCTATGATGCTATGTGGTCATCCTGCCTGGCTATAGTTAAAGAGTACAGATATTTCACACGGATGTCTTGCAAATTGTTATACATGTACTGGGCAGTTACCATGGTCAGATTCCCAATCAAGGATCTAAGAAGAAAAAAAAAAGGAAATAGTTCATAACATCTTAAATAGGAGTGTTTCTGGATTCATGCTGCCTCTTTTGTGATAGAAGAGATACAATCATCAGGTATAAATTGACGAGTGAGTGTGAAGGGGTAAGAACATAAGTTTGACCCAGATATTCTCACCTTCAACTGCAATGAATGAGACTATTTTAACCCATGACTGTACTTGTCAGGTGAATATCCAGGTTAAATCTTGATTACCAGCTACAGATACAATCAAAGCTTGACTCCACCCAACTAGTTCTGAATTTTCTTCCTGATTTTGCACTGTAGTGATGATGCTATTTCTTTGTAAATTCAGGGTTTTTACTGCTGGATGAGCAGGTTCAAGAATGTTAAAAGATTTTTCAGTCGTAATGCTTAACAGAAAAGGAGGATGAGGGTTGTGGGGTAACTGTGTATGCAGTGAAAGCTAGGCGTTAGTCACAGCCCCAATACTCAGAAGGTTTGAAGCCTCCTCACATCAGTGGAGGGGACAACAGGAAACAGTCTGGGCTTGAACTAGAATGTGCTGCTTTGAGCAGGGACTTTCTTTCAAAACAAAACATAAATTTAGGCTGGAAATTACCTTGTAGTGATTACCATCTGGTAATTTCCAGACAATGAGATTCAGAAAGTGTCCTCTGCTTTGAGAAGCAGGAGCAAGTAAGTTTATCAGGCTTCATGCTCACGAGCTAATGATTTGATAGTCTGATAAAAAAAGAGAATGTTCTGAATAGAAATTAGTGTAATTGAGTAACCTGTTTTATAAGTAGCTTGTAACCTTTATTACCTGTTTATATGTACAAGATTCTTCAGTACAGAGGAGATATGGAAAATACCATCAGCTTAGAGATTCAAGGTGGAATTTTTGTCCCGTTGTTAATGACAATTGTCTTTGAACTTTCAGGGTGAGCTCTGTGCTTCTAGTGGGCAGAGAAAGAGCAACAGTGTATGAATAGTAATGGGTACGTAATCAAGATATCTACCTGGTGTTTAGCTGCTAACATTATTTTAAGGCATCACCTTGAGACAAACCAAAATAGGGCTAGAGATTGTATTTATGTATGTTTATAAAACTAACAGCCTTGCTTACTTTGTTCACTCTTTGTGTCCCATGGACACTGAAAGCTGTCAGCCACGAATGATTTCATTTTGCCCACTTAGTTATATAATACAAAGAATGTAATATTACAGTGTTATCTGTTATCCAGTCGTAAAACTGCAAAATTAAAAAATACGTTGTAAGTCAGCCATGCTTACAATATTTTTATTCTGATTTAATGTCTATGGCATAGCTGTTAACAAAGACTGTTCAGTAGATCAAGTCATATCTAGATAAAGTAATTTTTAAAAGATTTAAAAACTTTTGCATGTTTGCAGTTGCAGTCTTTAAGAGGTTTTCATATGACTTTTGTATTAACAGTGGCCAAATATTAGGTCTCTAAATCCATATTTAAGATAATCAGCATCTCATTCCTCATAGCACTCTTACTGCTATAGATACCAGTGACTGCATGACAAGCTGTGAACTCGGGAAGTTGTTATTTGGCCAATGAACCACATGAACTTGTAGGTTCCAGTCTGAAGTTCTTTCTTTTTGTGGAGTTCTGAAACTGCCATTTAAGTCATTTTTAACCATGTTTTGTTTTATGGCTGACAAAACAAGGCACATTGCACTTGCAATCTCTGGGTGTCTTAGGAAGAAATATCTTGACAATTGATGTAACATTAGATCAGCAGTTATGCTATCTCAGAATTTTGTGCCTTTTTTTCTCAGTGCTAGCATGTGTGTTATCTGATAATTAATTTTTTTCTATTATTCTGTTGTGGGTTTTTTTCTTGCACAGTTTCTTTTTAAATCTTGTTTTTAGAATCTCATAAATGACTAGACAAGAAAAAGAGGGAGGAAAAATGTCTCTCTGTTGACATAGCTTCTTAAGCTCCTAGGTATATAAACCAAATCTGTATCAGTAATTCTAAATGTTGAATTTTTGCAGCATATTAGGAATATGTTAGATTTCTTCTTGAACTTCTTACTGGTAATCTGTTTTATTACATGAGTGATTTTGCTGGCACTAAAACTTAGCAGCATATTACTGAATCAGTCAGTCTCTATAATGTAAGTCTGATAATTCTGCACCTCAGTAAAAGTCTGTTTTGATAAAGGAGCAGCAGAAATGGGAACTCTCCCGTTTCACTTTCTGCAGTCTCTGCCACGACTGAGCATGCTGTTGGTAGTTACAGACAAGCTTGCAACGTGTTCTGTGTAGATGTGTCAATATTCCCACTCATTGCCCAGTGTCATCCTGTGAAAGCTTAGGACATGTTGCAGAAACGTTAATTGTCACGGAAAATGCGGAGAGCTGAAATCCTGAGTATGCTGAAGGAGCACGTGACAGGGTCAGATCCGTGACTGTCCAAAGCCTTGCTTCCTTGGACAGCTCCATATGCCTCTCATCATAGACAGGGATTGCTGATGTGCTACTGCGATAGACTTTTAACCTCAAGCAATCCCTTCACAGCTCTCTTTCCTGTGATTCTGGGGTGAAATATGCTCCACTGCGGGTCAGTTTTTGCCTTGGGAAAATTAAAGACATTCCTTTGTGGTGAGAATACACGTGGTAAATATTTCCAGTGGGTAAAACCATGGCTGTTCTCAGTTTATTTCTTTGTATAGCAAGCTTTCATTCTCTTGAAGTATGTTTAGGCTCAGATACAAGAAAGTATGCTGTCATTTTCTGCATTTTAATTCAAATGCATGGGTAATGGATGGCTTTTCAGTTCCTGTCCATCTTTAGTACATTCCCAAATAGCTCTGGTGCCAAGGTCCGTCAAAAACTTTAACTGTAACAAATGATGCTATAGGTCTTTATATTGTGTGAGGTGGCTCAGCATTGTCCTTGGCTGCTACTTTGCTATGATCCAAATAATGATATTTTCTTTTTTTTTTTAAGAATTATAGATAAATTGTTTCTCTGGAAAAGTGGGGAAATGTTTGGAGAAAGCATATACTGAAATCTTCCACCCTGTACCCCAAGTTAGTTTGATCTCTCTCATCTTCCTCTCTTTCCCTCCCCCACAGCTGTCAGCTATAGAAAAAAAGCGTGTTTTCTTGGTCTTTCCAAATGTATAATTGCATTATGGAAATTAGGTTCAGAAGACTTGCATGTTTTTGGGAAAGCTGGAGTAATCTATGAGGGAAATATTAGTCTGACTGTAAAATATAGCTGTGATAAACATCTAAGAAAAAGGAGAAGATAACGTAGGTGCTACAATTATTTGTATCTAGATTAACAAACTAGAATTTGATGTAAAAATCTGGTCATTTCTGGAATTACTTGAGATAGACACTGCAACAACTATTTTCTTGTATCTGTGTGTTAGACATTCAGTATTTAGTTATAAAATGGATGTTGGATATGTTATATGCTGTGATTTTAAGAAATATGTTTGTATTAGAGTTGAAGTTCAGATCATGAGTGAACTTTTGAAGTGAACTTCCTGGCCACCCTTTCTTACCACACATAAATTCACATTGAATAAATTCACCTTGGAGTGGTTTCTCCACAATGGAGTCTCTCGGACGTCACTTTTTCCAGAAAAGGTGCTCTGCAGAAGTGCAGCTAATGTTCCCCAGCTGCTGATGGGTGCTCACTCCTTGGGCAAGTCTAAACGTAGCATGTGTAACCCCCCATAAAATGCCTAAACTGTGGATAGTGGATGCTCTGCACCAACCGTTTCATTCCATGAAACTTCTTACTGTGCTGCGCTGCTTGCTAATACAGATGTAGCAGAGTTTTGTTTGGAGCTAGCATGGATCTGTGTAAGTGTGTGCAGACAGAGCACCCTGCATGAGAATCAAAATAAAATAGTGACTTATTAGGAAAGTCTTAAGAGGTTGCATATAAATCCTGTGGATGACATCGTGTGAAGGAAATACTTTGGCATGCAGAAATAAGAGTTTGGATTGACAAGGAAAGGAAAGGTCCTTTGTCAGAAGGGAAAAGTGCCTCTCCCTTGCCCTTTCTGAGCCTGGTACCAGGAGGGTTTCTGCTAGTGATGGTTGCAATTTGTGAACACACAAGTATAGTCAAACATACATACATTTATGTACACCTATGTCAAGATGACACTAAGGCTTTAGATGTCAAATGAGGTATGGTTTACCTTAGTTATCTCCGACTCATGTTCTGCAGTGTTGCTGAATTGCCTTGCTGAAAGGTCAGGTACGCACTAGTGCTGGTGCATGGGCAGTGGTGGCTGTGTGTGTCAGTAGAAGCGAAAGTGGTGGGATGTTGGTAGTAAGATCAGCTCCATTGTTTTCTGAAACATCATCCTCCATTGCTTTTGGTGTGCTGTGACTCCAAAGGCTAGGGGTGTAAAAATGGGTTTGAGAAGTTGCTGTACTGATCTGATAACTCCCTGGGAGTAGGTATTGTGCCTGTTTGCATCCATGCCAGGTCAGTCCCATCCTTATGCTGTGGATTGGAATACTGATGTTACTGACATTGTGCTGGAATAAGAAAGGGAAATCTGTTTATTTATTTCAGGCTTTATTAAAAGTTATTAATTAATAATAAATTATGAAGCAGTATGAGCCAAGAGAGAATCTCTCATTCTTTTTTACTCTCTGACAGCCGTGTTGGATTGCAGAGGAAATAAAATGTAAAAACATTCTCTGATGGATCTGGTTCAGGCTGTTTCCCCTTTGTTTATTCGGGGTTGATGAGTATAAAGTTGGTTTCCATTCTGAGAGGAGAAATTCACCACAAGGAAGGTGTTTTACTTCATCACAAATTCTTATTATTCATCTGAAAAATCATTTGGATGGAAAAAAAATACTGAACAGCACTCAAAGAAACCCATTTGAAAATTATTTCCTTTTTTTGTCTTACTCAAATTGATGTCTTTCAAGCCTTTAAATGTCTGCGTGACCTAATCTAAATGTGTACCCTTATTGTTGGGTCTGCAGGATTAAGAGGAATCAGGACAGGTGCAGCAAGTTGCATGGGGACTTCTGGTTTGTTACAGTGGCTCTTATCCCTGGGGACAGAAATAACCCTCCTGATCATTTCATATGTATGTGTAAATCATAGCTGCCAGTAATTTGCATTGTTTGTATACAAAAATACATAAATGCAAAATGTTGATAGCCATGATTTAAAACATTTTTGGAAGACTTCTGTTTTATTGAATTTGTGGCTGTAGTGAGTGTGTGCATGTGTGTGCCAGAATATTAGGTGCATATAGAATATATTTTGTTTATATTTCTGTAGTTAAAACAGAACCAATGAACAGCAGTGAGATTGCTACTACTACTACCACAGACGGGTCTTTAGACAATTTCTCAGGATCAGGTAAGTAAAAAGCAAAGATTTAAAGCTCAGCTTTTTTTCATTTGCTATTTTCCTATCCCACGTGGTCTAAACCTGTGCACAGCTGTTAAAAAGCCTTGTGCACTTTGCAGTTTATGCCTCTTTCTGTTCATCTGATGCAGACAGTATAAGTCAATAGGCGTTTTCCCCAAGTAGGGAGAATTACAGCATCAGAGGCTTATTAATGTCCATTGGTGTCTTCAGTGGGAGTCTCACTGGGGAGTATTCTGGCCCAGAGTAATTACTGTTTTGTTTTCTGTGAGTAAACATACCTGCCTCTGTGATTAGTGTCGCAATTGAGGGGTAGGTCTTCCTCATTTATTATAATTTATTATTATCAAGGTATGCATTCTTTTGTCAGGCTTTTTTTTCGTTCTGGAAGTCAAACACGGCTTTTAACATACAGGAGACAAACACTGTGAGAAAAATCCTAGTATGTCTGCACTGTTTTGCGTACCTATGGGTTAACTGTGGTATTTCCAGCACATGGTTTTTATGGTGCAAATCAAATAAAAAAGGATCTCTGCCATGTCATGGGATTATATTTTCAGAGTAGCAAAATTCAACATCTTGCAACCAGTCAGGCTCCAAGTAGGCGACCCTTTTCTGGTCTTGTCACATCCTCCATTTTCTGCACACGCTGTTGAATATGAAAGTATCAAACTTGAAAGCCAAAAAGTTTCCAGAATATTTTAGATCTCTGAAAGAAGAAAAGGTAGTGTGTTTAATAGTAGCTTTATATGTCTGTGGTGGTCTCACTAAAAGTCAGACTAGTATTGGATATATCTGCAGCCTCACGGGCCACAGGAAAGAAAAATTTATCAGGTGTGGAAGGCATGGAAAGAGATTCCCGGCTTCCTTCCACGCTTCACAAGTGCTCCTGGAGTGTAAAGATGATGGATTTTCCCTGTAGTTGGCCAGGAAAAGGGTAGCTGGTGAAGGGTAATTATCCGTGCCTTGTTTATTTCCAAGTACTTAGCAATAGGGCCTGTTGTTTCTCTGGCTGTCTGATTTTACAGTAGTCTCATAACCTGCCGCTGACCCCTTCCTGGCAGAGGCTTCAAAACCCACCTTGGGACGTAGAGAAGAAGTGGCACCCAAACGGTAACCAGAGAGGGAAGAGCTCCCGAACATAACCCCTAGAGCAGAGCATGCCAGCACATCTGCCACGCTCTCAGCAGCACCCAAAAATACCGAAAGAAATTGGTATGGATTGGCTTAAAGCTCTGTGTTAACCGTAGCTGGGCTGCAGGGGAGAAGCTCACTATTTAGCCTCCTAGGCTCCGTTGTTTCACTAAGACCATTTACACATTGGACATCTTTATGCAATGCTGACTGTTTTGATGGTCTGAAAGCATTTTAGAAAGCAGATAAGATGGGGCAAAAGAGAAGGAAGTGTAATATGTTAATACATCATCTGTATTATGGATAATTAAAAAAAAAGGAAGCATGTGCTCTGAAGCTGGCCATATGTTTTCAATTGAGGCATGCATAAAGCTCCTTCATAAAATGTAGGTCTTAAAAATTCTAAAAGTTAATAAAATGTTGCACTTGAGATATCAACAATCCTTTGAAAATATGAAGGGAAATGTTTCCATTCGGAAATAGGTTGTTTGCATTGAAAATGTTGTCTGAGTGTGAGCAAAGTATAAACTATTGCTCAGGAGTTGTACAAAGGGGCAATTTAGTATTTGAGATTTGTAATCAAGATTTTAATGTTAAGCATTCTTGCATAGTTCCTGATAAAATATTATTTTCTATCTAAGGTATCAATGATATTTGAATTTAATTAAAATCTTGTTAATACTCTGAAATTCTATTAGGAAGAATAATATTTATCTTTGGTGTGTGTATTTACACTTCTGTGTGCTTTCTTTTCTCCTTGGTGCAGCAATTGGAAGCAGTGGTTTCAGCCCAAGACAAACACACCAGTTCTCCCCACCACAGATTTACCCTTCCAAGTATGATATCTTTTAAAAATAATAATAGTAGTAATAATAATAACTGAAAAAAGCAGATTTTAACCTCATTTAAAACAATAATTGGGTCCATCTGTTAAGTCATAATTTAAACTACAGCAGCTTCTGGGGGGAAAATATTTTTTTTTAAATGCTAAGAATGTATTTGAAAAATATTTTGAAAGTTCTTATTTTATTTATTCTTTTATTATTGATTTCTTATTGTTGTTTTGTCTTTGAGAGGTTCTGCTGTTTAGCACAGGCTATAATTATGTGTTAATGAAGTAGTGGGATTATAATAAGGCTAAAAATAAGTACACAAATGTCCATCTAATGCAGCGTCTGTCTTATTTTCTGTCATTTGTAATCAATAGCAGAGCGTACCCTCATATTCTTCCTACCCCTTCTTCACAAACAATGGCTGCATATGGGCAGACACAGTTTACAACAGGGATGCAACAAGCTACAGCATATGCCACTTACCCGCAGCCAGGCCAACCCTATGGAATCCCTTCATATGGTAAGAAATCACACCCGTGTTATTTTATTCCTGAATTAAATGGTTTTTAGTTCAAGATTATGTGATTCTTGCATTACTGCTTAGTGGGACAGCTGTGCTCTCTAGTGTTTCTTGTGGAAGACTGGTAATTTCCCCATTGGAGACAGTAATGCTTATTTTATGTATTAAAGAGCTAAGAAGCTACTCAGGAGGATGACTCTGTTTTGGGATCAAGGAGAGAGATTCATTAGGATTTTAATGATAATGTTAAAAAAACAAAATGGGAAAAGAAGTCTAGAGACTTCCTTTACACAGGCACAGCTCCTGGTGACTTGCTGGGGAGCTCTGCTCTCCAGCAATGCAGTAGGGTACATTGGTACATAAAGCACTGAGTATCAGCTGATCCAAATTACTGAAACCCAAATGAACCAGTGAAGCTGTGCTGATTTTCAGCAGGTGAAAAACTGATTCACAAAGACCCCCTCAAAAGAGAAAATAAATCTGACTTCCAGTGTTTTGAAACTTCCTGGAGGTGAAAATTGAGGTAAATCGCCACTAAAGCCCTGTCTGCCTGATGAAGGAGATAGCACTAAGTAGAAAGATTTCAAAAAAAATTTAATTTAAAAACAAGTGTCTGTGGGTGAGACCATTTTGCTGCCAGACTGTCTGCTGGCAGACCACGGAGCAGTTCAGCAGCAAGGATGCATTATTAGAAAATAGGTCTTATATTCCTCTGGCGGAACATATTAAAAATATACAATCCACATGCTTTTAGCAGTATATTTTGTAAAACTACATTCAGGTAATGTAAGTTTTATACCAAAAGAACAGAACTTACGGTACAAGCTGTACCCCTAAAAATCATTAAGACTTTCCAAGTTCAAAACCGGTGAATCTTTCATCATGAAATCCACAGTTGAAACCAATGGGTCTCAAGTATATCCTACAGCAGGCTATTGTGAACAGTAGGTACAAGAAATAGATTATTATTCCCCCTTACTTTAAAAAAAGTGTTTCATTAGTATATCATCAATAATTACAATCCAAGGAAACATTCTTTCTGTGGCTACAGCCTTGATTATTTACTGCCAAAGGTATGGTTATAAACACGAATTGCATGTTTCAGTTTCACTTCAAATCCACATATTTTAGATGTAGAAAGTATTTAAGGAAATTCAAACTACATTTTCAAGGCTACAAAAATGGAGGTTCTTGCCCACACCCTCCCCCGCAAGCTCATGCTGCTGCTGAGAGCTTCTCTGCTCTTTCCCACTGGATCAGGTGGTGTGATAACAGACAACTCCTTTCCCCACCATGGTTTTCTTGACCTGTTTCTCCTGTGGACACCTCATGCTCATGCTTGGCTGGCTGTGGTGGTTTGAGCAGCCCAAACAGTGACTTTTTGTTTTTTGCTTGGCTCCTCTGGATGAAATCCTGACCTCACTGAAGTCAACTATAAAATTCCCACTGACTTCAGCAAGGCCTTGATTTCAAGATTTCAATACTTGAGTTCAGCTGTCTCACTGTCGTCTGAGCTATAATTGAGAGTTGTTTTACTTGGCAACTGCTCACTGGGGGTTAACATGCCTGCCTCCTCTTTTGTTTTGTTTTCTTGCCCGTCCATCCCTGTGCCTAGGACCTTAGGTAATTTTTGCCTAACTTTTTACTGCTTTTGAGCTGATTTTGACCACTGAAACCCCTAGCTCCTAAGCTAAGCGGATTTTAACATGTTTTGTTCTTTTCAGATAGTGTGTCATGACTGGGGCTAGGATGCTCCTTGCTAATGTGCTTTATAGGAGTCATATTTAAAAGTAAATAGCTATTAAAAAGTTTTGGGACCTAACACCATATATATTTTTATATAGTTAAGGCACATCATACAATCCGTGCTCCCAAAATAAATTACATGGGGAACACTGGAATGCTCATTTGCCACAGTCAAGCCTGTTTAGAGCCAAAATTCTCATCTCTGGTCTGAATCTTAGACCCCATGTTCCATCTGCCTCTCCTTTCTCTCATCTAGGCAGAAAGCTTCCAGCAGGTATAAAGAGAGGAGGCTTATGACATATGTGAAAGGAAAAATTGAGGTGGAGTGGGAAACTTCTTTCTTTTTGTTTCTTTACTCTGGAGCTCACTGGAAGAGAAAATATTCATGAATTCCCGTATCAACCTTCCTCAAGTTTTCTGTCTAGGGCAGAGTTTGGAAAGATGCTGTCTCAAACGCTCCTCTAGCCTTTTCATTTTTCCACTCCCCCAGCTCCACTGTGGTGCAGCCATGCAGGCAGGAAGGGGGGTGGAAGGGAATGCCACTGACAGCTGCCTCCCAGGGGCTTCTGGCCCTGGTTCATCTGCAAAGCCCCTGAGGAGGCTGGAGAATTTCCTGAAGCTCCTTCTTCCTGCCTGCTCCGGTACCAGCATCTAGCAAAAACTTTGCTTACCAACTTTTTTCTTCCCAGATTTTGGCAGTCCCCTTACGTTTTCTCGCTGTCCCTTTCCACATCCTTGCATAATTTAGACTTGGGAGAAGAAGAAGGGAGCATCAGGGTATGATGAGTGAAGGCCTTCTGGATGAGAGCAGGTGGGAGGAGTAAGTCCTAGGAGATAAAAGGCTCTTCATAGCATGGAGGTTTGCAAACGGGCATGTTGGTGCCAAGTTGTCTTCACTCAAGTGGCATCCTCCTGCTGCTGCCTTTGATTGTCTCCTCCTGCTTTGTCTGAGATGGAGAGTTGAATCAGGCTGTTAAAACTGGACTAGAAACGTAATGCTTGATTTAGTTAACCTTTCTCTAAGCGATATTTAATCAGCATTTCAGAAGTCCTTAAACAGGACAAATAGAACACTGATACCAAAACATCCATAGCGGGAGTTTCCCCTTGGAAACGAGGTGTCAGATTCGTCACTGGGATTGTTTAATTGTAACATGAAACAGAAGAAGCAAGCAAACAGGGTCAGTCTGACAGTTAGCAGGTCTGGCAGAAGGAATTAAGGGTAATTAATGACAGCAGTTGAAAAATAATGGTTTAAATGGCAGAAGAAAACGTGCTGCCAGTTGTATACAGGGAGATATTGAAGCTCTGCAAACACAGCGACTTCTCAGACCTCTCCTACCTTCAAGCATTGAATATTGTTTAAAAAAATAATCCAACCAGGAAATGGATTTAGGTTAACAGTAATTTTCAAAGGAATGTTACTAATTCACACTTAGTTAATTCAGTTCAAATAACGGTGGTTTCTGAACAATGAGATATCACTGAATGCCACAGTGAAACCTAAGAGTATTGTATTACTTTTCCATTGCTTTGGCTATAATTATTTTTAAATGGTAGTTCATGTTGGGACAACCTTATAATTAAAACTAAGAGACAGAGGCTGAATTGTGTGTGTTTCCTCAGTGTTTCGCTTGCTGATACTTACTTGCTTGTTGCCTTACAAATTGGGGGAAGAATCACTGAAGTTGGGAGGCAAGTCATTCATTTAGTGAGACTTTGGATTCTTTTATTACAAAATTTGGAAATGAGAGGGTAATGTGATGTGTAATGGATTTCCCTGTCAGTGCAGATTAATGACTCTCTGCTATGTTTTTCCCAGTTTGGGAGATCCCTTCAGGAATAGTTCCTCTCTATTACGTGTTTATTTGTTAAAAGACTGAATGCCTCCTATAGTGTTTAATTAGCTTTGAAAATCATTGTTACACTTAATACTGCTAGTTCTCTTTATCCACTTCCAGTTCCTTAGAAAGCCTTTGCACTCACAGCCACGTAATTTTCATGTAGGAATATTACACAATGCAAATCTCAGTTATGTCAGTAATGGGTAGATGGCAGGAGGGCTTGGCTATGCTATGCTTCATTAAAATCTTATAAAGTTGCTGATCTGCCTCTGTGAAATGTCATGAATATATGGAAAAGTTAGCCTCTGGCAGGAAAGGAAAAAAGGAATAATGCAACTTCCTGTTCATGTATAAATTTCTTTTGCAGTTATTGGAAACACAGTTTTGAATTTAACCTTTCCCTGGTGAACTTCAGTTTTATGTGTGCATTTAGACTGCCCTTACTCTGTTCATTTGTGTATGTTCTTGATATTTGTCATGCATGCAATAATACTTAATATGTTGAAAATGCTGTTAATTAAGTGATTTTATTTTCCATCCCTGTTTGAATATGAACAAATAGATTTGCTGTCACTAACTGATTTAGGTGCATTGTGGGCAGGCATCAAGACAGAAGGTGGATTGGCACAGTCACAGTCACCTGGACAGACAGGATTTCTAAGCTATGGTGCCAGCTTTAGCACACCTCAACCTGGACAGGCTCCCTATAGCTACCAGATGCAAGGTCTGTATAAAAAGATATTACCGTTAATTAGATGTAGTTAATATGATGTTTGGTTTTTTTTCCCTTATTTCTTTACATTCCTAGGATAAAAGTGAATGTTTGCTTGAGCACTTACCTCGGATGTTATTGCAGTTGGCATTGCAATGATTATTGCCTTTACTGAGAGCAGCGACGGGCCAGTTCTCAGTAATTTCAAAGATCACTCACTTCATTAAATTTTAAATAGTGAAGTGTTGTAGTGTTATTACAGTAAAAATGTATCTCTGAATAGTAATAGTTCAACAAATGAATGTGACAAAGCAAGCCCTGGAAAACGTGTCAGGATTATGAATTGAGGAAGTGCCAAATATAATTTGACACCTGAGTGTGTTTGGGGAGGGAGAGGAAGATAAAAATACTTACTGCAGCTGTGGAGGTAGCTAAATAATGATTGAAGTCTGTCTCTTTGAAGTCTATTTAAAAGCTGTAAGCCTCTGTATGTGCGGGCTATTATTATCAATTATATTTTGTAGCCTTACTTGCCTGTTTAGTTTGCTTAATATCTTTTCACCTTATTCTCCCAATTCCTTTTTCCCCTTCTGTATCGGGAAGTCGCTGCGTGTGCTGGGTTTCCACCACTTTAAGGGATATTTTAAAAAAATCTTTGATTACTACAAATAGCTAATTTTGGGTGTCTGCTGCAGGACTTTTCACCCCTGAATTTGGCAGTTGAAATCAGGTGTATTTCAGATTTTAGGACTGTTGAAATACATGATCGCTCACAGAATCAGACCACATTTTTTAAAAAGTTCGGTCCTTCTCTTTATTATTATCATGTTCCATTTAAACTGTGCACCATCATGTAAATGCTTCATGGTATGTCTTGAGGCAGAAGTGCTTTCAGAGACCAAATGAATGATGTTTTGCTTTTGTTACATGGATTTAGAGGTATATTGATCCAGTTCTTTGCTCAGATAGAAGGGAGATGTTTTTTGCTTGGGTTTGTTTGGGGTTTTTTTAATCCCTTTTTGAACTATGTGTTGAGTAGCTCCGTAGGGCAGAAGCTACCATCTGACATCTGAAGTGCTGCTTACTTCTAGTGTGTTCTGACAAGTGAGAGGAAGATAGTATGAGTAGTATGCAAACTTTCTTCTGCATGCCGAGTACTGGTGATCTACTCATCAGAGTAAATATAACCCTAATCAGGTTATTGGTTTTGCTTTCTGCAGATAGCCACAATAAAAAAGCTAAACACACATATCCCCCTGTAAAACACAACCTGTCTGTAGGACAGAGCTCAGAATGCTTGCCAGGAGCAGCAGCTATGAGTAGCTCCTGAATCAACATTCCAGCTTTTAAGGAACTGATAATTCATGGTCGCTAGGAAATAGAGATATTGAAAAAATCATATCTCTGTTGCCTATAATTTCTACTGCAGTAGTGCCTTCATGCCACAGTCATGTATCAGGATCTTGTTATGCCAATTCATACAGCCAAATGAAAATATAGTTCCCACAGAAGTTGGAGGCTAAAATAAAACACATGGGCTAAGAAAGCCTAATGTAACAATAAAGCTGACACTGTAGGCATAATAAACAGTCATCACCCCATACTGGTTATCTAGCAGCTCCAAAGGTGGGGGTTTTGTAAGATACAGAGCAGAGAGATGTCAATAAAAAGTGATTTTAGGGAGGACAATGAAGTAGTTTTGCATATGTCTATGGGAAACTTATTTGATGGAGGGAGGAAAGGGCAAACAGCATGGGGTAATGTGAAAGAGTGCTTGTTAGAAAACTTAAGTGAATTCTGGTATTAGTAGAGCAAAACTAGGGCTTGGTCAATGGACTACATAGAGGTCTGTCATAAAGGTTGTTGCTTTGTTTTCTGCAATATGCAAAATGTGTATGACTGGAATTGTCAAGGTCATGGCAGTTGTCAAGAAATGGAACAGTAAGATCTTGGAAATCATTTCAGCTGCACACTGAAAGGCAAAGATCTAAAAATATTCTGCAAAAGAAATGTGTTAAAGATGACCCAGTTGTGAAGCTCTAATGAGAGAAGGGTCAGAGGCATTGATTTCACGACAGTACTGTCTACAGGGATGAGAGAGGAGGGGTTCTGAGCCTGGGTTCTGCTCCAGCTGTGATGTGCTTAGGCTGAGAGCTCCCCTCCCATGGAAGGCAGAAGAAGAGCTGTGCTTGGGCAGAAGAGACAGAGAGTTTGGGAGTCTCTGTGGCGGCTCTGTCATTTTTGTTGTGCTCAGAAACAGCATGTCGTGTGGATGAGGGAAGGATTGGTCTCCTACAGAAACCTTAGAGGCCATAAGTATGGAAATAAGGAGAATATTTCAAATTAAAAACTTGGCGGAGTTATTAGAAGCTAAGTAGAAAATAATCGTGTTGCTGAACTTCTTGCAGTTGAATATTGACAGTATATATCTATACTGTACATGAGAATATATATCTTTTTAACGTTCTCATTGGGCTACATTTTGAATTTGAAACAACTTTAGATTAACTTAATTTTTCCGTTGGATTGAACAGATGTTAAAAGTAAACAGGAACATTTGTTTCCCTTTCCTCATTCAATTTTGGAAGGAGAACCTATTCATAGTTTCAACTATTATTTAAGGATGAAATTGATTCTCTTGACAGAAGACGGGGGTAGTGCTGCTGCCGTTCGCTGTTCAGTTGTTTGTGCAGAAACCTCCAGAGGGAAATGAGTTTATTCTCCCTTTCCCCTCCAGCACTAGATGGGCAGGATGCAGCCTCAGCCTTGTCACAGCCTGCAATAGCCGTTCTTCATTTCCCGCGTGCGGCTGCTGAGCTGCTAAATGAGGATAATGGATCCCACAACCTCCTTCACAACCAAGCGTTACATGACAGTGTGCTTGGGGCCCTGCTGGCATTCCTGCTTGCAGTAGAGGGGATTTCCTAGCAGCCTTGCAGTTGCCATGGCTGTGCTTCCTGAGTGGGGTTACCTTGTGCTCCAAAGCCTAGGAGTCCTTCAGGTTGCTCTCCCTGGGGTGAATGTCTCCCTGCAACGTAAAGGCACCGCCTTGCAGTGCGTGTGCAGCCAATTAAACCAGCGCTTTTTCTGACCCTGCTAAAATTACAGTGTGATTAGTCACAAAACAATAGTGGAGGGAGAGACTGCCAACTTCTGAAAATGATGAGGAAAATTGCTGCCTGTGACTCCTTGCTAAGGTTATTCTGGTAATTGGATTTTTGTTTGTTCCAAATTTATAATTCCTATAACAGGGGGTGTGGAGAGGAGAGGGTGGGAAGAGGACCTAGGTAGTTCTGCCACCCCATCTTCCCATTCCCTCCCCCCTTACTTTAATATGTTCCTTAAGATGTTTTTCATATAAGTTGCCTCATAGATGTTAAAAGACCACTTACATGACTAACGGCTGTGGGAATGGGCCGTTGTTCCTATATTGGCAGAGATGTAAGGGTTGCTCAGGGAGGATAAATGAAGTGGAGAAGGCCTTGGGGAAATGCCAATAGATGATCTCCATTTGCAACTCTCTTCTTGGGTATCCTTTGATTGTGATAGAAGTGTGGCTTTTACCCTGCACCCACCACTGGAAAGGTACTAGACCTGTGATGAGCACCAGCATTGTTTTAGTTACCACGACTCTGGTGTTTGAGAATATACTAACCAATTGGTTTGGGAATTCTACCATTAAAAAGTAAATGTTAAGGTATTTAGTTATTATTATGCAGTATAAAAATATTGTGCTGGATGCCTAAGCAGTTACTAGGACAACAAGGGGGAGTTTGCCAAGGATTTTTAAACACTGTAAGTAAACGGAAGAAACCTTGAGCTTAAATAGCCCATCTGGCCGTCTTAGGCTTTCCCAAGAGAGCTGCACTAAACTTCTGCCACATACATTGTACCCTGATGATAGACATAGCCCATGGCAAGGAGTCTGAGCTAGAAAAGCAAATGGACTCTTGTGGCAAATACCCAGGGGAGGACCGCATCCCGCTCCTCACAGCAGCAAGGGGGCAAGCCCTGCGCCCTGATCCCAGCAGGGTCCAGCCATCTTCCAACACTGACTGGGATTCCCAGCTTTAATGTGAGTCTGCACTCTTTGCAAAATAGACCTTTGACCTGCAATTTACAGCTTTTATCACATTTTAAAGCTACGTAGCTGGCCAACTTAGGGCAATAAATCTTGTGCGTTTTGTAGAGGTTCTTATTTTTGTGTTTGCTCAGCTAAAGCAGGACAGCAGCCCTATGCTGCTCTGCGGCTGAGTATTTAAAAAACAAATGGCAAAATTGGAGTATTTTAAAAACAGCTTTAGGCCAGTAGTTCTGGGTGGCCCACAGAGCTGCTTCATGTTTGTTACGGTCTAGGAGACCCCTACCCCTCCTCCATAGGAGCCAGTGCTGACCATGAGATGAAAGAGAGAGATCTGCATGTTAGTATGTGTGTGTCTTTGTCTGAGAGGGAGAGATGCTGGCTAGCATGTAATTACTTTTTTCATTTGCTCTTGCAAATTATTTGCCAAACTTTCTGTGGGAAGATAATGTATTCCTCAAAAAAAGTTGGTTTTTTTTTTTGTTATTTTTTTTATTTCTTCTTACAAGAGGCCTGTTATATCTTTTTAGAATGGCTCAAACCGTGCACCTATAAAACCTGTCTTTGAATGCATTAGTGCGTCAGTCAGAAATAACTATAGAAATAGACACAGTGACTTACATTCTTCCAGCCAAAGCACTATTAGAAATAAAATAGTATTTCAAAGTTTTGCAATTTAAAATATTTTTCAGCTGTATTTTGGCTCTGGGGTTTGTTATAATAAAAAATAACATCTGTTTTCCAATTTTAAATTAAACTTAACATGTTTTTCTCATTAGTACTGTTTATCTGTGCTATCTGCTAAACTTGGATGTCAGCTCTTCTGCTGAAGTAATCTTATTTTAGTTCACAGGATTAGTGGCATCTATCAACAATCACAGAGCTTTTGCACTAATAGCAAATACAAGGGAAATGTTTACAGTCATTATCACACGTTAAGTTTAAGCTTCATCTTTTGCTCCCACTGCTGTTGGACTTCAAATCTCCTACTTTTAGGCTTAACTTCTATGTGGTTTTGGTATCTTTTGCAATCAAATCATTTAAATATTTTTCCTTCTGACTTCTTATGGCTAGGATAACTATTGGTTTGGGGTTTTTTGTTTAAAAATGTAAATAGCTCACAAATGCCCTTGAGGGGTTGTACTAAGCATGCAGCCCTGCCTGCATTCCTCACTGTTTGGAGCTGCAGGAAAAGTCACCTTTTCCTATGAGTAGGCACTGCATAGGATTTGGTTGTTAATTGGGTCATGTTGGGGATATCAGAGGATCAGTGCATCTGCACCTAGCTCCCTGATGATTTCCATCCCTTCTTGCCTCCTCTGCTCACCTGCAAGTTTTTGCTCCCAAGGTCTATCTTTGCACGGAGGCAGGTTTCGGTGGTGAGGGAGGCTGTAAACAACCTGCGCGCTGGTGCTCTCCCGCTGGACGAGTTCAATAGGTTGCCTTATTACAGACTTTCTGGTGGCTTATGTAGCTTCACCCTGTGCATCCATATGTCTCAGCTGGTGGCTGTGTGACTCCTGGGTTATAACCAGCAAGGGAAAAACAGCTGAAAGGGGGTTGCTGCCCTTTTAGTGGAAGAGCTTCTCAGGTTAGGTATTAAACAAGAGCCCCATCTGTCTATTTTTGGTGGCTCATGAAGGGAGGGGGGAGGGAGGTGAAGGTGGTAATTCAGTCCCTGGGCTAAATTCAATCTGTCTTGGGTCTCCCTTCTCAGAGAGGTACTTCTTTCCCTTGTGTCATGCCTGGTAGACTCTATCAAAAAAGAAAAAGGTTTTCAGCCCAAGGTTGTCTATGATCGATTAGTGAATCCTAATGGCTTGGCAGTCTTGCTGAGCTTTGGAGTAGGAAGCTGTAGCTTTTGCCGTTCCTGTGAGGAGCAGGCCTGGGGAGAGGAGAGGACCCAATTCTCAAAGGTGGTAGGAGAAATGGATCCAGTGGGCTTCAGTGAGGGGAGATGGCATTCTCAAGACAAAGGCTCGCAGTTACTGTTCAACAGAAGCAGAAAGTAAAGAAACCCTCATTACTTCCAGTGATAGGTATTATTTTGAGGGTTGGGATAGCCTAATAATCAGATCTGAGTTAGCTGCAAATTCCTGTCTAAATTTCAAGTTTCTCTTTTTATTGCAATAATGAAGCACAGGGTATAGCAGCGATGAATTACCACTTTCCCTATATTAACATGTTACAGAGATGTTGACAACCAAATCGTTCAACATATGGGAAAAATTATAAATATGCCATATCCTTATGATATAATCACATGATGGAAGTTATTTTCTGATACTGTGTTTTAGTAATTCACATAATTTTTCATTTCATTTCAGGCAGCAGTTTTACAACATCATCAGGAATATATGCAGGAAATAATTCACTCACAAATTCTACTGGATTTAATAGTTCACAGCAGGTAAATTTGTAAATATGAGTTGAGGAAACTTAAAATTCTCAAACACTGAAAAAATTAAGCCCTTAAATAGCTTTTTAAAAGAAATTAACATCCTTCCAAGTTAAACTAATGTTTATAAATGTTTTCCTTCAATTTGTCATCTTCCAGTAGAAGAACTAATTGTCTGGGGTTGATGTTCTTACTTACGTACCTTCTGCAATGTATCTAATAAACTATTTGCATGAGAAGATTACATGTAATTTAGATTTCATTTTTATGCCTCACAATTTTAGGACCTACAGCATCTAGTCCAGGAAGCATACGTGCTGAAAGTCTGACATGTGTTTGTAGTTATATTTTGGAATTTGTACTAAAAAGTAGCAAACCTTTGATGGACTATTCAGTTGCTTTTTTTTTTTTTCATTCTTGCAGGAATATCCCTCTTATCCCAGTTTTGGCCAGGGCCAATATGCACAGTATTATAATAGCTCACCATATCCTTCACATTACATGACAAACAGCAACACCAGCCCAACGACACCCTCCACAAATGCAACATACCAGCTTCAAGAACCACCATCTGGCATCACCAGTCAAGCGGTTACAGATCCTGCAGCAGGTAATTACATAGATTTTATGGTCCCTATGAGGGACATTTTTGTAAGTTAAAAGGGGATTGAATTGGATTTATTTTTTTTTGGTGTAGTCATTGTTGTTTTTTTTTTTTTTTAAATTATTATTTCTTAATCCTGAGCCTGTGGCACATCTTGCACAGATTCTAACAGAAAATAGACTAAAGAAAAACCAGGATCAGTACCAGTTTTAAAGTTTGTGTGAAATACAAATTGTTTGTATTTTTTTGTAAAATGCTTGTGTTAAAAATTGCAAGATATGGGAAAGTCTTTACACTAAACTGAAACCTGGTGCTTTTAAGCTCTGTCATTAAGATAAACTCCCTAAGTAAGACTGAAATCAGGCAGCCTTCAGACCAGAGCCCAACTGTCCACTTGAAAGAGAACTTTTGTGCTTTTCACTTTCAGGGAACATAATAATCCTTGTAATAGGGAGTTGAAATGGCACAAGTGTTTCCATTTTGAGGAAAGATTTTCAGTGGCTTGTCCTTTTTCCCAGTCATTTTACCTTTCTTGCTGGAATTTGGCAGTCCTTTACAAGTTGATATATTTTTTGAACATTTATACCAAACTGCTCCAGCTGGTTTTGGAAATGAGGGGTGAAAAATACTTTTCCCATTATTAAAAAAAAAACATTTTTTAGCAGTTCAAGCATGTCAGTAGTTACTAGATGGCAGAAGTTTGAAATCTGTCAGAGAGAAAATCCAATGTTGCAGATATGTTTTTCAGTAATGCAGTGAAAAACAGCTATGATTTGGCAATGTTATCAGGAGGTTTTGTTTCGAAGTTTTGTTGGGGAAGGTTGTTTTCAGTTTTCTTAATGTACTTGATGGGATCAGTCTTGCATGTACAATGTGAGTTTAAATTTGCTAGGATTCTTGGTTTTCTGCATGTTTATACCTAAAGAAAATGTATGCAGTGTTGTCTCTTTTGATACATTTGCTGAAAGTAAGTAGGGAAAAAAATACAGTTGGTGTGTGTGTTTATATGGAGAAGATCACGTGTGTGCAATGTATTTGAGAAATGAATCTTTCTAAATATATAAATGAATATTGGTGTGCCGCTTTTAGAATATATGGATGCATATTGGAGTCTACATAATTACTCTGCTTTTTACTTTGTTGTTAATTCTTCTTTTGTTTGTTTTCTTGTGGGTTTGTTTGCTTTTTGTTTTAAGTTGGAAACACTAAGTTCCTCTTACCCCCAAAACCAAACGCGATCAAGTTTTAGCTTTTAGGAAGATACTGAAGTTGCATCGTTGTATCGTCTGGGTCTTGATCTTTTGCAAAATCTCTGCGTATATTTTTTAAAAGTAGTTGATACTTGCTAAAAGCAATAGTAAACACACATACAAAGAAGAGAAGGTATATTTTTCCCAAGCTTAAACTGAGTGGCTTAAAGGCTGCTTTCCTGTTTAGATTTCTGCACTCTATAAGCCTGGACAAAACGTTTCTATCAGTTCCTTTTAAAGAACTCTTTTTTTTTTTTTTTTCCCCTTCAAATCTTCCACACTCTTACTAACAAAGTTTTGTCTAAACATTTGAAAGAGTCAGGTAGGCACCTTAGAATTTGTCTTGCACTAAGCCCTCTTCTAGTTTATGCTTTCATGTATTGAAAGCTACACATCCATGGTTCTCTTTCTTAGCCGTTCCTTCCAGATGTCCTCCTCTGGCATTGCTGGGACAGTTGGCTCTTTCCGTGAGAGATTTATGTTACTGATTTAACAGTTCTGAAAAAGTTAATTCAAATGGTTTGCAAATAAGAATTCAGTGTGGCTATGGGGTTATCTTGGGCTGGCTGCTTGTACTGCAGGCAGGGACACTTTTGGGAAAGTACCTACTGTGGGCGAGTCTTTATTAGAAGGAAGCCATCTTTCTGTTCCCCTTCACCAGCAAGGTCGCAGTTGGCAGAAGGTATAGAGCTAGACCTAGATTTCTCCATTTATCTTTATGCATTTGTCTTTATGCATTCAAGTTAGGATCAAGCCCATTTAGACTCCTCCTATATTGAGTGGAGAAGGATGAGTACCTCTGTTTAGTGTTCAGTTTAACTACAGCCTTAATCCTGCTTGACATTTCTCCTTGGACAGTGTAAATTTTTTTTACTTTCTTCTTTCTGAGGGGTATTGCAGAGCCTCAGTTGAGCTCATACACAGTATGCTTGGAAGACAAAGCAAGTTTGGGGTCAAAGCAAAGAGGGATCAGCATGGAAGAAGGGAATTCTGATGGAGTGGGGACAAATGAAAGGCATATTAGAGAGAAGGAAATTCATAGTTGTGTCAAAAACATGGAACAAAGGTGCAAATTAACCAAATTTTAATTACAAGTAGTCAAATTTCTGTAGGGTGTTTTGCCACATCTGGGCAAATTAGGTTGCTGATTCTCTACCACAACAGGAACTTTGCATATGAGGGATGGTCTGGAGCAGTGCAGAGCCATTGTATTAGGCTACTTTACCCCTTTAGCAGGATGGACTCCAGCTGCTGGATTGCAGCTGTTCTTACTTGGATGTTCATATCCCTGCATATCTTCTATATTTAAAAACCTCTTGTAATCCATGTGGTTCTGAACTATGCCAGGACAAGCACAGAAGAACCTTCAGACTTTATAAAGGCACCAGAATAATTTGAAAGATATAGGTGGTTCCTAAGAATTTGGGCCAGTGAGTGAAGCAGAAGAGTCTGGTAAGAAACGTGTGAAAAGAAAGAAAGTAATTAGGTGCTCCTGTAACATTTTTAGTAGAGTTTTGCAGACTTAAAAAGCTCAAATAATTCCACTTTAAAAATGCTTAATTCTTGTCTAAATATAAAATAACCCTCTTATAGTTTCCCAGAGTTCCTAGTTACATAGGCAAGTTTTTTTTCATGCAATCCAGGACATCCAGGGATTCTTGCAGAAGAAGCTAAGAATTTCCATGCTCAGTGTTTCTTCTTTCTCTTCCCTTCAGGGATCTGAAAAATTTCTTACAACAGTCTGACAAAACCTTTTGATTGAGCAGCGGCTGATAGTCCCAGTTTCCATAAAACAGACATGCAAATTAATGTTATTTTGTCGTTAATAGAAGGCTGTACTTTTCCTAGTGACATAATGAGAAAATTATTAAACAAACAAACAAAAAAGTCAGTATGATATTTTAATTTTTTAATGTGCTTTGCTTCAGATTTAATTGGAAATTTTTTTTCAATTCAAAAGTAAGAATTTTTGAAGTTTGGTTTTGTTTTTTTTTCCCATTTGTAGGATTCTGACACTTTACAGAAAACAGTGTTTTTCATCAAAATAACAACAGAATAGTAGGTTCCTTCTGGGATGAGCTTTCAGTTCATACATGAGTAGATATTCCAGGTATGAACAGCAAGTTGGCGATTTTTGTGAGCTGTATTATGTAAGAGAAGAAATAATAATTAAAATTATAAAAAAAATAAAAAAAGTAGACTAGTGAGCAAAAATTCATTCTCACTTCCAACATTCCAATTCATTGAAGCAGGTTCAGAGTGAACAAAAGGAAATATTTCTCTATGTTGCCTCTAGGTAAGCTGTGCAGCTCCTTCCTGCAGGGTGTTGTGGATGCAAAAAGTTTATGCCAGTTCAAGCACTGCCTAGACAATCTCAAAGATTGGATTTACACAGACATCAACATCAGAAATTCTTGACATTAAAAAATCACTGGAGACAGTGGATGACTTAGCACTGTGCGTAGGTGTCCTTTTTACGCTCTCTCAACTGTTCACCTGCTGTTGGCCGGTACTGAAATTTATCCTGGACAGAAGGAGTTTTGCCCCAGTCCATTATGCCTACCCTGACATTCTAAAATAATTAGAGGAACATTCATAATATATTTCTTAGAGTTAATGTAGAAAAGGACTACTTTTTCTAAAGCTTTATTAATTTTCTCTTGCAGTATGTCAATTCTATCATCACAGCTGGAAAAAAGTCTTGATTTGTGCAGACTTTTGTTTAGAAATTCAGTCAGCAGAGTTGAATTTATCCTTCTATTTTATAAGATGCTGTATTTATAATTTATTAAGCAGTGTTTCTCACAAGAGAGACCTGCATTGTTCTTGAGATTTGATCTCTTTCAGTTTTCTTGGTTTCTGCAATAAGTATGTTTAAAATATTACTGGAAGAGATTTTTTTGTATTACTCATATACTTCACAATGCAGATTAAAAACCCCACAAGGACCGTGCTAGCCAAAAAAAATTGTTCTCAGCCATGGGTCACCATTTTGCTCTTAAAGACTAAACTTCTTCTTCCTTGAACACTATATCACATGTAGTATTGCAAAAGGCAAAGCCATTTTTACAGTTACTCCTTATCATATTTCATAACAGTAAATTAGACATAACTCTGAAAGCTGGAGAAAAAAAAACAGCCACTGCAGGGCTTATTAATATAGTTGTTGCCATACATAGTTAAGGTATACTATTATATGTAAGATATACTGCTAGTATGACATTTTGTCATTATTTTGAGTATACAGTCCTGAATCAAAAAGTCACCTAAGCCTTGAAATAAATAGGTATTTTTACCAATATTTTTAACAGACTGTTGAGGGTTTCTGCTTATAATAATATGGTTATGGTCATGTAAAGACAAACACTGGATTCGTTTTTCCTGTGAAGATTTTGACATTTTGTCAAAACAGCACTAAATACATCCATCTATGATCCTGTCATCAGGCATTGTTGTACTTCTTGAAATATTTATTTAGCACTTTTACTTACTACTAATGGTGTAGTCATACTATTTTTAGGGGAATGTAAAGAAAAAATAAATCTTCAAATACCTAAGTTATTCTGCTGCATTGTTTAATCATGGGCCAGTTTTATGTAAACACTAAAAGGGTAAGTTTGCATAGTGCTCATGGAATTTTGTGTTTAGCTTTATTTATGCAAAAGTAAACTTTATGCAAAAGTAAGAAAATCATAGCATGAGACTGACATATTCAAACTACTTGAATCTTTTTATTTTGGTATACAGGAGTTGAAA